GGCTGTGCTTCGTTGACTAATCACCTTCGTAACCATTATCATATAATCCTTGACGGTGTTTGAAGTTAGAAGGCAAAGAGAAGCAGCGACTACAGGTTTTATTAGCAGATAACTCAGACCACAAAGTAGAGAGGCAAATGAATGAGTCAGCGAACCGAGAGTGTGTAGAGTGTAAATGTAATAAAGAAGACAAAGACTGGTAATAATTGAAAATCATTTTCACTTTTTAAACACATGACCATAATTTTATTAACCAAATACGCTGACTGGCATATTACTGCATGTAAAGGGCGAAATATGAAGTCAACTTATCTGCAATGATTTGGTTCATAAATTGTTGTGAAAGTACATTTATCATAGGTATTACAATAATATGAGGCAACAGTTAAGAGCCATTAATTCTTAGTAGGAGAACTAAAACATTCTGTTGATGACTGAATGACGTATCTAGGGATATTTCCATTACCAGTAAAGAGTGATTGTTATTATCATTACAGCTGAAGAGGATTCAAATAACTGCTTTTACATTTTTTCTTAATGGAGCAACACGTGCGATTCTACTCAGCCATTTTCATTACATGGTTTTAGATTCCATAATTGAGTACATATTCAAATTAAGATGAAATCGAATTTGAGATTTTTAGATGAACTTACAAGAAAGAAAATCACTTTGATGAATGTCTGAAGTATGATAAGTATGTATGTTAATGCACCCATATCATAGATTTCAAAACTGCATGAAGAAACAATTACAACTTTTAACTAATGTATAAATATGATGTATACAAATGTTAAAGGTAGTCGTTGTTAATTTAAGATAACATTATTTGTGGTACAAGGTTTGTAAATGAAGTATTCGTAAATAAATTAATGGATTTATATTAGAATTCTTCACATCCCTGCTGTTATCTTTTCTATACCGATATAAAGAAATTTCACAATGAACGACAAACATTGGCCTCAACTTCACTATCTATTAAACTAACTCTCAATAACATACAGTGAAAGGCTAATGTTCACCGACTTGGATACATTAGATATCCCATCTACTGAATGTAATGTTAGGTTAAATTCATTTTACTCATGAAGAATAATCATATAATAATTGTACAAAACGTTCTGCTAACACTAATATCAATCAAGTTATCATTTTTCAACAGTAAATCCATGAATAACAACTTTTCATCGATACAGACCAATAAATTATTATTTATATCTACCCCACCCCTTAATTATTAAGATAAATTGATTATTGGTTCTTCACTAAATATCAAATATTTCACGTGACAACCCAAATAGTACAGCTCAATCCCATTTGACAGGAGAGCCAATTACCGCACAGGCTTAAATTTTATAACTCGAGCAGTACAGCTCAATCCTGCTTCACAGGAGAACCAGGCTTTAGCGTTACAATCTGAATAGTATTGTTCAATCCTTTGGCGCAACCATACAAGTACCAAGCACCCTGGTGGACCAAATAAAGCAAACAGTTAACTCTATTAATCACGAGAAACACTTGTTATTATTCGGTTTTATATTATTGGAAAGAAAACGTCAACATTCTATATTATTTACATGAATCATTTACTATTAGAAATGTTCAAATGGTTTTAATCTAATATTCTATTCATTCTTTTATTTCTTCAATCTGTTAAGTGTGTTGGTGTAATGAATTACGTGATGGAAATGAAGTAAAAAATATAGTTTTTCGTTTTTAATTGTTAGTTATAAAAACGTTTTGTAGATAGACTATATTACTGATTGACGTTAAATAGATAATCAGAAAAAAAAGTCAGGGAACATTAACACAGTTATTGCTTCTTAGCATAGAACTCCTAAAGTGTATGCATCAACAACTTAGGAACTTTCGACCTTAAAGTGAGTATATATGTTCATTAATAACTAAATTTGAAGTAAATATTGGAAAATCTGATGAAAACTTTTGACCGCTAAAGCTTAAAGAAATAAGGAATAAGACGGTGGATAATTTAGTGGAGCCCTTTATTTTTTCATCATTTAGATAGGAAAATTTTGTCAACGGGTTCACCACTTTAGTGGCCCAAGATCTGACTCCAGTGAGATCGTTTCTGATTACTATTGAGGTATAGATATCGTCGATCCTTGTATATTATCATCGACTTAACTCGTGTTAGTGAATAACAAAATTAAACAAGCCGAATACGAGAATGGATTTTGAGTGTGTATATTTCATGCACTCATTGATTTGAACAGGCAATCGAGGAATGGAGCGAAGAGAAAAGAGCAAAGCGAAACGATCAAGCATTGGAGAAGGCATGTAAGCCAACTCCATTTAATCAAGAGTCAAACAATATTTATAGTCACACCAAATCAAGCTACAGACATGCTGTGAATAGTATAAGAAGGACACACACACATATGCGCTCATATAAAAACAACCAGGGTTGATAAGTGAATAATTACCAAGCTCAAAACGTGATTCAAGAAGAATGGATAAATAGGCCTTGTCCGAAAGCGAGAATTAGTTTTATATGGGCAAAACATAATAACCGATACTACATTAGGATTCATGCAATATTGTGAACTAACTGAAGTTGAAAATGTAAAACATTAGATACCAATTTAGTGGTTTAAAGTTAACCATCCATATGAAAAATTATAATATTAATAGTAAAATTAGCCTAAATTATACGATAGGTGGTGGGATCAGATCAACACTATTTATGAGAAACTCTTGATCAGGAAAACAATTTCAAAAGTAATTTTAAGAATTCGTTTACTATTCATAATTAATGTAAAATATTATCAGAATGGGAGGAGCCCCATACCAGGACGAAACGACCGTCCAGTGCTTCCAGATTTTCCATGGTGGTCTACTTTCAATTGACTCATGATTTCAATTTGTAAAATATTATCTTACTTTTTGATATGATGGAAGGGAAAGTCAAAATTAGATTGATTTACTCATTATGAATTTAGTTCAAGACTACTTCCGTTTTAATTCAATGTAGAGATTACTCAATGTAGTATTTGTTTTCTTTTCTCGTATGATATTTAATTCTGTATAATATACGATATTCTTGTATTCCATTGACATGAACTATGCTCTGTATGTGATTTGTTATAACTCTAAGTATTTTTCATATATGTGATTTCATCCTAATTATGAATCAAAGTATAAGTACAATCAATATATAAGTGAATGTATTTTCGACTGAGGTCGTAGTCATCGTGTTTTGGGTTAATAAATCATCACTTATATCAGTCTTAGTGTTCTTACTTTCGCGTCATGGGAATTGCGGAGGTCCCTCGTTCCTAGTATAAGTGATAAGTGTTTCCGACATAACAATCAGCGACGACCAAATACAAAACGTAGCATTAAAAGAGCCAAGACAATAAGCATTCAAACGACAAATTATAACACTTTTATTTTCAAAGAATAAATTATGAAAGTTCAATCAATAAAGCCATTTTATCAACTTTTTGTACACTGTTGACGTAGACGAACGAAGAGATTCTGAATCCTGTTACTTCTATCAGTATTTATAAGTCATGTAATAGCAACTATATAAGTAAAACGAATAAGTAAGTCAATTCGCACATTTTCGAAGACTGTTCAAAGTAATGAGATAACTTACTTAATAAATCTGTCAAAAGTTTAATTCCATTTCATTTTGTTCATATGGAGCACATAAGTGATAAAACTGTGCTGTTTATAATCATTTATAGTCCCAATAAAGTATCTCAGGTTTGATCTCCGTTTTTTCAGTTAGTAAAGGTTATTGACATTAGGATTTTGTCAACTAAATAAACTTATGAAATAATCATTCTTTCAGTCTTTTGCCTGTTAAAGGCATCATAATTACTTACTTCCTTACGCCTGTTACCCCCAATGAAGCATGGGCCGCCGACTAGCATTCTCCTAACCACTGTGTCATGGGCCTTTCTTTCTAATTCCATCCAGTTGTTGTTCATTCTTCTCATGTCTGTCTTCATTTCTAGGCGTAATGTGTTCTTTGGTCTTTCTTTCCTCCTCCTTTGGCCTTGAGAATTCTAAGTAAGGGCTTGTCTTGTGACGCAGTTGAGTGCTTTCCTCATTGTGTGTCCTATCCACTTCCAGCATCTCTTCCTGATTTTTTCCTCCTCTGGGATCTGGTTTGTTCTCTCCCACAGTAGGTCGTTGTTGTTGGTGTCTGGTCAACAGATCCGAAGTATTTTGCGTAGACAACTGTTAATAAACACTTTTATCATCTGGATGATGGCTTTTGTAGTCCTCAAGTTTCCGCCCTATACAGTAGAACTGTGTTGACATTTGTATTGAAAATTCTGAGTTTGATGTTGGTTGACAGTTGTTTTGAGTTTCAGATGTTCTTCAGTTGTAAATATTCTGTATCACCTACCTCTTGATTATAACAGTATTATAATGTCCACTGTAATTATCGATATACATTTAACTAGTCTAATGAAGAATTTATTAGAAACAATTTTTTTCACTCAAATACTTGCTGACTTCAAAAACTCCATCAAAATTCTTTAAACCACTTCAATCAAATTAGATCCATAAATCGTGGGATTTTTGAACTTCGAAAAAAACTCACTTATTCTAAGCGCTCATGTTTTGTTAGAAAAGTCAAGATTGTTTTACCTCTTATGTTAAAAAAAATATGGAAACTGACTAGACTGAAATCAATCAATCTCCATGCATAAAATTCACTTGGAATAACAACTAGAAATATTTCTTTCTCCTGTATTATATAATAATGATATATAACGTTGCTAAGGCAATAACAATTATATAATGAATTTTGTTTTCAAATTATAATGAACATTACATTTAAAAAAATATACCATCTATAATAATACACACATTGATACGAGTATCAGATTTGTTTTTATTCTCTTAATCCTGTGACCACAAAGCAACCAATAGAGTTGGTTACTAACATTGATCATAACCAATAGGAATTGAATAGAAAGATAAGAGTAAATAATAGGTGAAATATAATATCATTATAATTATCATCAAATTGAGTAATATTATTCATACATTAACTTGGATTTCTTAATAGAAAGAAATAATACAATCCATATTTCATATATCTTATTATTATTATGGATCAAACAAGTAAAAAAAGAAGAATATGTCTTCCAGTAGATGGAAGTGATCATTCTAAACGTGCAATTGAATGGTTTATTAAAGAAGTTTATCGACCTGGTGATGAAGTACTATTTGTACATTGTTTAGAATTACCATATTTACCAACAATTAGTTTAACATCTGGTTTAAAAGTACCTATTGATGATTGGACTAAAGCACTACAAGAAAAGTAAGTTATTTTCTTCTTTATTAATGTGTACATTTTATATAGATAAAAGATTCAAATAAACTTCTTATTTAGCTATAATATTGAATAATTTGAAACTAAATGAGATAATTATATATGTATAAGGTTAATTAAATACTGATTAGTCAGTTCTAGGGAATCAAATATAAGAGAGTATAGATTTTTTTTCATTTATTCAAATGATTGATCAATATTTTAGTATATTAATCTGATCCTGGATACTGATATTTCTTTTTGATAATATTTGGCCGCCGAATACCCTGGTACGGCTGAGGGTGAGGAGAGTCCGTTCTCTTTCTCGAAATGCTCTCATATGGTCACATGTATACAGTTACTGCCAGAGAAGTTCTACTTACTACTTTCTCGTGGCAGGAATGTTGTGTACGAAATCGAGAGGACGAAAAGCGAATGTCCGGTGCTTTAACCACGTTGATGGATATGGAGGACTCCGTACCACCGGTGGACATGAGCTCCAGGATCCTGAAGGAATAAATCGCGTATGAACCAATTGTTGGTGACCGTCGATTATAGGACTGCATCTCCTGACGTTGATCCACTGCCTTGTGGATCAGACCTTCAGGTCAAAGGCTCCGGGTGTGGTCCCCTAAGGAAACCACCTGTTTTGGTCTGAGCACCCGGGCAGTATCATAGCCCATACATAAATCAAGTGACTTTTGTGGTGCATCTATTTTCAGTACCCCTTTGTACCAATATTTATGTGTACAAATAAATAAATTTCACCTAACACATATAATATTATAGTGATAATACAAACTACTTTGTGATATGTATGTATAATAAATATCTTATGTTCTAATACACAAGAACTGAATAATTTGACATTCTATACTTTTCTATAATACACAATATTCTATTCAATAGAATTTAATGATTAGTTTAAAGAAATCATTAAATCATTAACCAAGTAATGAAGCTTAGTTCAATCCGATTATAAAATACCATACCATAAATGATCCAAAAACTATATGAATGACCAGTTTTTGAATTATGAACTATCCTTTAAATAAAGTTAAAAAAAGGAAACTTCCATTAGATCTTATCCTTAATTATTTATGGACAAGATTACATTTCTGATGATTCACTAATATTAATGAGTTGATTCAATATACATTCTAAACAAAATGTACTATGTTTTGTGACGTTAACCAATGGAGTTCATCTGGGTCTATTGTGAGATACTAACACATTGAAGACAATTGTGGACTGTGGCGCAATTTTGTGAATTGGTTAAAGTTGGACATTAACGCGGTTGGATGCCGGCCGTCTCAGTGGTCTAGAGGTTAAGCGTTCGTGCGGATGAGGCTGACAGGTTCTGGGTTCAAATACCGTGAGGCGGGGCCGTGGACGCACACTGTTAAAGAGTTCTATACTAGGACGAAACGTGTATCCAGTGCTTTCAGGTTTTCACTCGCGGTCTTACATTCATCCACCACCAATTTTTGAATACTTAAATTCTTAGTTGATGTATTTATCATAGAGTAACTCACGAACTGATTATAGCTAGACTATCATTGAAAATCAAAAGCACTAGACAGTTGTTTCAGCCTGGCTTTGGACCACTCAACAGTGAGCATCCACGACTCAGTCATAGGGAATCAAACTCAGGGCATTCAAGTCTCATAAGTGAAAGTTTAAAGTCTAAACAACTGAGCCGGCATCCAGTGGTATATATTTCTGACTAAAATCAATCTATGATATTGGGCAGCCATCTTTCGTTGTTGTCAGTGAGTTAATTCCACACACCCGATACATATGAACTTTATTGGTTACGGCAACTTACTAAGACTCCAGGAATTGCAATTTGAGGCTAGTCACTAGTGAGCACATGATTAGTATTATCATAGATGAGTTTGTGAATATTTTACAATTTTTATGGTTGTAGTCACGAAGTGATCATGACTGGTTAGCAATGTGCACTGATGAGGACTCCCCTACTAGAGCAAACAACTTTCCAGGTTTCCAATACATGATCTAAATAAGATCAGTGAGTGACTTAAACTGCAAAACTTTCACAATCTGCACAAATCCCCTATACCACTTATACAATTATCAAAATAAGATACATGAAAGACAATTATAGTAATTTCAATAGTTGAGATCATGAGTTAATTGAAGCTAGACCACCATGGAAAACGTGGAAGCACTGGACGGCTGTTTCATCCTATTGTGGGACTCCTCAGAAGTGCGCATCCATATTGCTATCTTCTATCTTATTTCTAACATTTAAGAATAAAACATTTTATTCTTTTGACTTTTGAATTAATTTAAACAAACTATTGAATTTGAAATTAATTTTTCTGTATGAAAAATATAGCTGGTTTATAGAAAACAGAATATCGATGGTAATTTAATGGCCTGCATTCTGACTCCAGTTGGATTGTATGCTTGATCATTATTGAGATATACATATCGAGATATATATCGTCAATTCTCGTATATAATCACTGACTTTACTCGAGTTAGTGTATGGTAGAATTAAATAAGTAAAATATGAAAATGAATTTTGAATGTGTATATTTCATTAAATCGTTGATCTGAACAAGGAAACGATCGGAGAAACGAAGCGAAACGACGTGCAGTGGAGAAGGCATGTAAGCTAACTCCATTTAATAAAGCGTTAATCAATATTTATAGCCAGATAAAAATAGGTTACAAACATATGATCAATAGGATAAAAAGTGTGCGCATATACGCTTATATAAAATCAGTCAGGATTGATAAGTGAATAATGAACAAGGTCAATATGTGACTCAAGAAGAATGGATAAATAAGCCTATCTAAAAACCAGAATAAGTTATGTGGGTTTAACATAATAGCTGACACTACAGGAATGTAGACAAATTTGGAGAATTAAATCGAAGGTTTGAATGTTAGATGAGTTATCTATGTTAAATATTAAATGATTTTATTATGGTGTACATATATAAGATCATGTAAGCATTAGATGAGATCCAACATATACATATAAACAACTGGTGATATCAGTTTAATGTGTAAATAGTCTACGTTATAGATTCACTTGGTGATTAGTAACCGATGGAATACAGTCGTTTCAAGATCAAGATCAAGACAGATATGATCATAAACGGTACCGAATGATAATTGAATTATATTTTGAAGTGACTAAATTCAGAAATACTAATCATTTAGCTTTGAGTCCGTAATAAAGAAGATGATGCATTCATAATGACAACTTATCAACTAGATTTTCTTTTGTGGCTTGAGGTGACAATAGAAGTTAAGTAATACTGTTATATTTCTGTTTTAACTTACAAATGTAGAAGGAAAATCTAAAACAAATGATGAAATAATGAATCAGATTAGATTGCAGTGTATTATTTTGTGGGAAGTGATGAGGAAAATCAGTCTTACTATATTTTATAACTAGACTGTTGAACTACTATAGTATAAATCATTGTTAGAAACATTAGACCTACAATTTCGCACATGTTTTAGTGAGTGTTTCCAGCAAGATTATCCTTTAGTTTCAGTATATCTTTCAAATTGTCCAATTTTTAAAGTAGTTTGGATATCTATATAAATTATTGTCTATTGAAGCCACCGAAATTATAAGTTGAGGCAACTTATACTTCAAGGAAGAATTCATTCCTAGTACCACAAGTTATCTGTTACATCCTGTGAGGTAGTATTTGATTCTTATATTCCGTAATTGATTATTAACTAATGAAGATTTGAAACTCTTGTTGATGAGCTATTTGGGATAATAATGAAGCACTCATTGTCATTCTGTATCACATCTTCGGTGCTTGCTCCTAATTTATACAAACTGATTCTTAACACTAAACATGGTGTACAGCAAATAGCAGTGAAATGATAAAATGTAATAAGCAGATAGACTGGTGACTTGAGTATGAAATTTGTCATAAGGTGTCTCATGATTTCAAAAAAAACTGTTAGAATAAGAAACTTATGAGTGAATTCAAAGAGAATATCACATGAGCGACCGATTATCATGTTCGCTAAAAGTGGTTGTCAAACTGGACTTTAATTTGTCTTCTCTTCGTTGGTACCTGAAAGGTTCTTTCAGATTGCTATTTTGATTTCATGTTTCTTTAAGTGAATCTGGGAAGATAGTTAAACTGATACAGTTTTGATCTTGTAGAGCAGTCCACGTAGACCTCAAAAATATGCTCTATACAAACGCATCTACCATTCGAAGCTGTAAAAAAAACCAAATACCAAACATTTGACTTTATTCTTAAACAACAACTAAAGGTAGATTATATTATAGTACAATAAATAAGTGAGCTATTTGCAAAGTTACGACTACAGTTTTAGGTGAACAAGAAATAAACTAATCGATGAAGCTTTGAATTTACATCGAAACGGCCTATACCAACATAGATTGCTTCCTCTTCTATGAAATCCTGAGTTTTAATGTTGCTTAACATCTCATATTCCTCAGTTTTAACCATTCATTTTAAAAATAAATATTTTGTAATGATTGTGTGGTGCCTATTATTTATATCTGTCAGTTTGGAGATCATATGTACCTTAGGTTGATGAGTTTGATTGTGTTATGTTCAAGTGGATCAAATAGCTTAAGTTCACCGTCGTATTCAACAGAATCATCATCAGCGCTTCCTTCAAACTGGTATATATATAATATTTTCATTTGTCTTTACTTTTCATTAACACTGAGATTAATTTATATAATCAAAATGAAGTATTTTAATGTTCAGACTAAACTAATAACATAAATATTTAACAAAATTTGTTTTGATGACTGATGATATACTACCGATTATTACAATGAATGTATGTTTCAACTTACATTAACCTATTATGTTGATCTTAGATTTATATTGTTATTGTAATTTAATTAGATTTTAATTATTTTATTAAGAAAAAACAAAACATAATTCAATATGATTGAGATATTCAAATGTGTTCCCACAATTGCATATGAAAAGCACATGTCTGAAGATGTTTACTAAGAC